GTTTTTCCCTTTGTTGTATTTCTTTAAAATGCAGTGGATTTTGAGTTTCTGAAATGAGTATAGTCTAGATATACGTTTTTGTAAACTGTAAAGATATATGCAGGCACCTACAACAAGGCAGCTAGAGCTTAATTTTTCTTTCAGTTTCAAATTCAGTCTGCCTTTGTAATGCTTTTTCTGATAGAATTCTCGATCAAGTACTCCAATGCACTTTCTTATCAAATGTATTCATGTCGTTTACTTATGAAATTGATTCCTGCTTCTTGCCATCATTCCTTTCATTTTCATTTTGGTCTCTCCCCATCGCATTATCCATTTTATCTCTATTTTTTCTCTCTTTTGTTCATATTTTTCTTATTTCATATTGCTCTTTTCATATTACTATGCCCTTGCTTATTTATGTAACTTTTACTTAATACTTTTATCAGTGGACTTTACATGAATGCATTTGTGCTTCAGAATTTGATATTTTCAAGTCCATCTACTCAAATTCAAAGGTTAATTTTGATATTCCCAAGAATGTCAAAGTATTTTAGATCATGGATCTTAATTTACTTTTTTGTAAATTTCATTTTACCGCAATTTTTAAGATCTCTTTACTATTTTCTTTAATCAGTTCATTCACTTAGTACCATAACTTACATTTCCAACTCACTATATCTCATATACCTGCATTTTTTTTTCTCAATTTAATCAAATAATCACATATCTCAATTCACACTCTTTTATTATAGTTTCACATTTTCTTAAACACGTCAAAATTTGCTTTTGACTTAATTTTTATTTATATTAAATTATATATATTTTATATAAATATTGAATGACTTATACATATTACACCGGTAAGGAAATTGAAAAAATCTAATATTTAATATGTAAAGATTTAGAAAATGGTATTTTAGAAGTGATAGTGGTTTAAAAGTAATGAGACTCAATTATTTTAATATTAAAAGGTTTTAATATAAATAGTTTTGTGAGGAACGAGTTTTATTATTTTAAAACACACAATCTCTAGAAATCATTTTATTAGAGTTCTCTGACTTTTCTATGAGTTCTCATCTCTTGTTCATTTGTTTGAAGACCAAAGATAGCCTAAGTGATCCTCACAGCAAGATCGTAAGTTGGTTTTCTGCTCCTTTCTTTAGTCACTTTTGTTTTTCTTGCATGCTAGCTCTTTGTTTTGCATTTGAAGTTTGAGTCTTTTATAAGACTCTTTGTTGATCAGTAGTTCTAATGGTGTACCATGATCGTGTTTCTGTGTTTCGTATGAATAGATAAAAATTCCTCTATTTTGGAGCTGTTTTAGGCTTTCTAGAGCGGTTTGGTCTTTTGGCAGGTAAGGAAAACTAATATTTGCTTTATTGTGTTAAGAACTAAGAATTTATGTTTGTTAGGTTGTGAGAATGATGATTGATTGAATATGTTATCATTTGAGTTATTAATAATTGTGTTTCATGAGTGAAGTTGCATTATTGATGAATATTGTTGTGAATGATTGTGAATTGGTACTGTCTTAAACTTTGAATGTTGTTGTTTTGGAGTATTAGGAGGTACAAATTTGTTATAGAGTTGATAATAGTAAAAAGGGAGTGTTGTTAGGTTGGTTTTTGGTCTAAATTGAGGTTTTGGTAGGTGAATTTCTAAAAGAGTGATTGGAACTAATATTGATGGTGGTGAGCTCTTTTTAGATCATTTTAAACTTGACTATAACTTTCAATAACCACAAATTTGATGTTGATTAGGTAAGTAGTTGTTGAGTCTGAGTTATTTTTGGCCAATCTTTAGAGTTTTTAATAGATGAAAATTTAAAGGAGTAAGTTTGTAGTAAAAGTGAATGTTTGGGGTTTGTTGTTGAATCAATTGTGACTTGTGTAGACCTTTAGTTTGCTAAATTCTTGTTTATATGTATAGTATTAGTTATATGTATTGGGTTGATCTAGTGCATCTTGTTTATGACCAATTGAGCAAAATGGTATTTAATTTTATCCATAAACATGTTTTTACATTAATCTTAGTGTTAGAAGAGTCAATTTGATCATTTAGATATGTTCAAGTATATTTAAATTAGAACATGTTGTTAATATCTGGTATGGCGCTAAGCGATCCTATTTGATCAAAACAAAAAGTCATTGGACTCCAAAACGTTAAACACTACTTTTATAATGGAGTTTGACCGATGGACGCTGGTCATGCTACCTGGATGAGTAGTGTTGAATTTTGAAATATATTAGTACTTTAAAACTGGTTTAAAATATATTGAATTATAATATAGTTTATACATGAGATTATATACGTGGTCAAGTATATTTTGAAAAAGTTTCATGAAACAATTTCCAGCAGTGTAAGGTTTATTGTAGGAATTCAAGAATATTACGATGATCATCTTTTATCAAATAAACAATATTTACTGAAAAGATAATCGATCATAAGCTTGTATCTTTTTCTGATATTTTTATTTTAAGACTTATCGAGGAGATATTTGATCTGTATTGGATGGTTTGGGTCATGCATACATAAATTGATTGCTGCAAGAAGGTTATGAGAAGATTGAGAGTGAAATACGGAAGAGGGGGTGAATGGTATTAAGATAAGGAGGCATGGAAGATATAGAGATAAAAGGGATAAGGACAAAGGTTTGGGTTATGTAAGGCCATGACTAAGATTATTATTGGCATATATGGATAAGAACAAAGTAAGGCCACTCAACCTCACCATGGATTGCTGCACAATCATACACATCTCCAGATTCCACCCCCTTTTTTTTATTTCTTTATAATTTCAATCTCATTTGTTGCAATGTTATCTTCATAATTCTTAAGTTAATATAATTAAATCTTTCTGATACTGACGTTGCACTACTTTTGTCGACATCATAGTTTATTGTATCAACACGGAAGAACGTGGGCACTGTTCCACATCGACAAATTTAAAAGGGTATGCTGTCATTGTCAAATCGCTTCATTCCATCGCTTTTTTTATTACCACTATTGTTATTCACATTTGAGACCGGACGAAAACCATAACAATCAAATTAAATATTTAGAATATGATAATCCAATGTTTTGCATTTTATATCATCTCAAAAATCGTAAATATATTTTATGGGATTAAAAATGAGCAGAAGAAAATAAATTGAGTAAATGGAAGGTGGCGTTTACGTAAATATAGGTAAAGCATATGATCGATTGGTCTGAGGATCAGAGTTTGTTTCAAATTCAGGATTACCAATCAAAAGCTGAAACGGAACCTGCGTGTGTCTGAAACAGCAAGCCACGTGGGCAGTTTCAGTACAGTTATCGTTGCTACCTGCCGATACAGTTGCAGTTTCATTGAGAACATTTTTGCCTTCAATATGATTGTGTTTTACGAATTAACCCTCATCAGTTTTTGAAAACAGAGAAAGATTGTTTTTGTTCTGTAAATTTAAAATGAGTTAAATACCCTAATAGCTCAACTTAAAATTAAAATTCTTTTTTTTATTTTGATGTTTTCTTTTTAAAATTTAATGCTAACATTTAAATATTTATATTATTTTACAAGTTTTCATTTTATTGTCAGTTGAAAAATATTCATCATAATTAGAATAAAATGATTATATTTATTATTTTTTAAATTTAAAGACTAAAATTATTAAATTGGAAATTTTTTAACTTTTTATCAAAATTTAGAACTAAAATTATATTTTATTTATTTATAATTATCTAATGTTTTGAGCTGCATTTCCTTTGAATGATTTATTTATATAATATTTCCTGAAATATTATATACAAAATAAAGTTATTTTAGGGAAATTAACCTTTGATGAATGTGTATGGTGAGAGTAGAATTTGGTTATATTGAAAGAGTGGAGTGTGAAATGAGAAATTAACCTTTAAATTTTATGCAGACAGCTTTGACCATTGGTAGCAGACTTGCATGTGAAGTCTCATTAACTTAAATAATGTTTACTTATGAATTTTGTTGTATGCAGACATAAACATCACAAAAATGAGGATAAGATTGAAATTCATCCACATGCATGCCACCTTTTTCTTATGTGATGGTTCACTTAGACACGGAATCTGTCTTAAGTCAATGTTTTTCATGTTTTCTTCATACCCTAATTCAACTTTAAAATTTAAAGGTCAAGTTAAATTTTAATTATCATTATAATAGCATCAAATTATCATGATAAAAGTAAAATTAATTTATAATATTTAAACCAGAGAATAAATTTCATCTTACAACTACTCTTCGTTATTTCGGCTCGTAAGACTGTTTTGTTATTAAATAAAATTCTTAAGAACAAGTTTAAATTTAGACTGAAGACTATTTTGTTGTTAAGTTATATTATTGAAGATCAATTTAATTTTTTACTCTTATTATTTTTTATTCTGTAATAAGGAATTTCTATTAAAATATTATTGAAACCAAAAATATTATTTTACTTGGAAACATTTAACCTTTGCTATTTCCTGGTTTATTTCTTTAGTAACTTATTGTACATAATTAGTTTNTAATATTGTCAAAAATAAAATAAAATCTAAAGTTGCTGGGATTTTATCCATCTAATGTTGACCAAAAATATTTTAGCCAATCATGACAAGGACTTTTTTTTTACGTTAGTTGGAAGGAATAACCTTTATCAAATGTTTTGAAGAAATAATACTAATTAAGGTAAATAAAAAATCAACATCAGTCGAAAACAACCTAGATTGATATTAATCAAGAAAAATATATTATATAAACTAAAGAATCTTAGCAAATTTTAACCGAAGCTAACATCGACTAAAAAAATCATATTTTAAAATATTGAATATTATTTACAACTCAAGTAAATTTTATATTTAGTAATAATTAAAATACTTCGTTTAAACAAGAAAATTGAAAGTGAATAAATACGAATTGTTTTATCTAAAGAAAATATTAAAATAATTTAAAAGGAAAGAAATTTAAATTTAGTATATTTGAATTTCCTAAAATGTTATGAAATTCTTTAAATGCTCACACTACCTTGGTTTTCTGCAACTTTTTCAAAACTGTTCGTTCTGTAAGATAAAAAGTAAAAGGAATAGAAAATATGAAGGGTGAAGTGAACCTATTGTCTGCATGGCAATGTTATGGAATTAATTGCAATAGATCCTTATTTTTACGTGTATTGGATGCAGAGGAATCTGAAACAGATAACGAAGGATCTGAAGTTAGTGTTTCAGAAGGGGATGACTCATGCTGGATCTCATGGTTTTGCAATTTGAAAGGAAATGAGTTCTTGTGTGAAGTCGATGATGATTTTGTACAAGACGATTTCAACCTCTGTGGATTAAGCAGTCAAGTGCCTTACTATGATTATGCATTGGATTTAATTTTGGATGTTGAGCCCTCCCACGGTAGGGCATATTTTTTTCTTACTTCAATTCATTTTTTGAGCGATGAAATTGAAAACAGTTGTTGCTTCAACTGCATTCTGATTAAACTAAGGCAAAAACTTCCTCCATTGATAACCTCTTTGGTATTTGCTTGATTGACTGATAGTGTGGTTTGTGGAATTATTAGGAGACATGTTCACAGAGGAACAGAATGAGTTAATTGAATCTGCAGCGGAGATGCTTTATGGTCTGATTCATGCTAGGTACATTTTGACAAGCAAAGGAATGGCTGCAATGGTATGATTTCCTAGTTACCCTGTTTTTTAATGTTTTATTGTGGAAAAAGATGGCTCTGATAAATGGCATTGTGATAATCTACAGCTTCACAAGTTCAAAAACTTGGACTTTGGCAGATGTCCAAGAGTTTACTGCTCTGGACAACCCTGCCTTCCAGTTGGGCAGTCAGATATTCCTAGGTCAAGTAATGTAAAAATATTTTGCCCCAAGTGTGAAGACACTTATTACCCAAAGTCCAAGTATCAAGGTAGTATCCTTTGTTGAACTTGTGTGAACTATTTATCTTGTCTTGTCAAAGTTTATGTTTTGTTATTCTTCCATCTATATATACGGTTTATCATTGCCTTGTTGAACTTGTGTGTTTTGGCATGTGATTGTTGAATTGTTGGGGGAATGATATCCCCCATTTCATATGAAAATTTCCTGAACTGTATCTAGACATGGATGGAGCTTATTTTGGAGCTACGTTTCCTCACCTCTTTCTGATGACTTACGGGAATCTGAAGCCACAAAAGCCATCACAGAACTATGTACCAAGAGTTTTTGGTTTCAAAGTTCACAAGTCCTGAAGCTGGGTGGAATTTCAAGCTTTCAAACTATGTACCAAGAGTTTTTCCCTTTGTTGTATTTCTTTAAAATGCAGTGGATTTTGAGTTTCTGAAATGAGTATAGTCTAGATATACGTTTTTGTAAACTGTAAAGATATATGCAGGCACCTACAACAAGGCAGCTAGAGCTTAATTTTTCTTTCAGTTTCAAATTCAGTCTGCCTTTGTAAAGCTTTTTCTGATAGAATTCTCGATCAAGTACTCCAATGCACTTTCTTATCAAATGTATTCATGTCGTTTACTTATGAAATTGATTCCTGCTTCTTGCCATCATTCCTTTCATTTTCATTTTGGTCTCTCCCCATCGCATTATCCATTTTATCTCTATTTTTTCTCTCTTTTGTTCATATTTTTCTTATTTCATATTGCTCTTTTCATATTACTATGCCCTTGCTTATTTATGTAACTTTTACTTAATACTTTTATCAGTGGACTTTACATGAATGCATTTGTGCTTCAGAATTTGATATTTTCAAGTCCATCTACTCAAATTCAAAGGTTAATTTTGATACTCCCAAGAATGTCAAAGTATTTTAGATCATGGATCTTAATTTACTTTTTGTAAATTTCATTTTACCGCAATTTTTAAGATCTCTTTACTATTTTCTTTAATCAGTTCATTCACTTAGTACCATAACTTACATTTCCAACTCACTATATCTCATATACCTGCATTTTTTTTTCTCAATTTAATCAAATAATCACATATCTCAATTCACACTCTTTTATTATAGTTTCACATTTTCTTAAACACGTCAAAATTTGCTTTTGACTTAATTTTTATTTATATTAAATTATATATATTTTATATAAATATTGAATGACTTATACATATTACACCGGTAAGGAAATTGAAAAAATCTAATATTTAATATGTAAAGATTTAGAAAATGGTATTTTAGAAGTGATAGTGGTTTAAAAGTAATGAGACTCAATTATTTTAATATTAAAAGGTTTTAATATAAATAGTTTTGTGAGGAACGAGTTTTATTATTTTAAAACACACAATCTCTAGAAATCATTTTATTAGAGTTCTCTGACTTTTCTATGAGTTCTCATCTCTTGTTCATTTGTTTGAAGACCAAAGATAGCCTAAGTGATCCTCACAGCAAGATCGTAAGTTGGTTTTCTGCTCCTTTCTTTAGTCACTTTTGTTTTTCTTGCATGCTAGCTCTTTGTTTTGCATATGAAGTTTGAGTCTTTTATAAGACTCTTTGTTGATCAGTAGTTCTAATGGTGTACCATGATCGTGTTTCTGTGATTCGTATGAATAGATAAAAATTCCTCTATATTGGAGCTGTTTTAGGCTTTCTAGAGCGGTTTGGTCTTTTGGCAGGTAAGGAAAACTAATATTTGCTTTATTGTGTTAAGAACTAAGAATTTATGTTTGTTAGGTTGTGAGAATGATGATTGATTGAATATGTTATCATTTGAGTTATTAATAATTGTGTTTCATGAGTGAAGTTGCATTATTGATGAATATTGTTGTGAATGATTGTGAATTGGTACTGTCTTAAACTTTGAATGTTGTTGTTTTGGAGTATTAGGAGGTACAAATTTGTTATAGAGTTGATAATAGTAAAAAGGGAGTGTTGTTAGGTTGGTTTTTGGTCTAAATTGAGGTTTTGGTAGGTGAATTTCTAAAAGAGTGATTGGAACTAATATTGATGGTGGTGAGCTCTTTTTAGATCATTTTAAACTTGACTATAACTTTCAATAACCACAAATTTGATGTTGAGTAGGTAAGTAGTTGTTGAGTCTGAGTTATTTTTGGCCAATCTTTAGAGATTTTAATAGATGAAAATTTAAAGGAGTAAGTTTGTAGTAAAAGTGAATGTTTGGGGTTTGTTGTTGAATCAATTGTGACTTGTGTAGACCTTTAGTTTGCTAAATTCTTGTTTATATGTATAGTATTAGTTATATGTATTGGGTTGATCTAGTGCATCTTGTTTATGACCAATTGAGCAAAATGGTATTTAATTTTATCCATAAACATGTTTTTACATTAATCTTAGTGTTAGAAGAGTCAATTTGATCATTTAGATATGTTCAAGTATATTTAAATTAGAACATGTTGTTAATATCTGGTATGGCGCTAAGCGATCCTATTTGATCAAAACAAAAAGTCATTGGACTCCAAAACGTTAAACACTACTTTTATAATGGAGTTTGACCGATGGACGCTGGTCATGCTACCTGGATGAGTAGTGTTGAATTTTGAAATATATTAGTACTTTAAAACTGGTTTAAAATATATTGAATTATAATATAGTTTATACATGAGATTATATACGTGGTCAAGTATATTTTGAAAAAGTTTCATGAAACAATTTCCAGCAGTGTAAGGTTTATTGTAGGAATTCAAGAATATTACGATGATCATCTTTTATCAAATAAACAATATTTACTGAAAAGATAATCGATCATAAGCTTGTATCTTTTTCTGATATTTTTATTTTAAGACTTATCGAGGAGATATTTGATCTGTATTGGATGGTTTGGGTCATGCATACATAAATTGATTGCTGCAAGAAGGTTATGAGAAGATTGAGAGTGAAATACGGAAGAGGGGGTGAATGGTATTAAGATAAGGAGGCATGGAAGATATAGAGATAAAAGGGATAAGGACAAAGGTTTGGGTTATGTAAGGCCATGACTAAGATTATTATTGGCATATATGGATAAGAACAAAGTAAGGCCACTCAACCTCACCATGGATTGCTGCACAATCATACACATCTCCAGATTCCACCCCCTTTTTTTTATTTCTTTATAATTTCAATCTCATTTGTTGCAATGTTATCTTCATAATTCTTAAGTTAATATAATTAAATCTTTCTGATACTGACGTTGCACTACTTTTGTCGACATCATAGTTTATTGTATCAACACGGAAGAACGTGGGCACTGTTCCACATCGACAAATTTAAAAGGGTATGCTGTCATTGTCAAATCGCTTCATTCCATCGCTTTTTTTATTACCACTATTGTTATTCACATTTGAGACCGGACGAAAACCATAACAATCAAATTAAATATTTAGAATATGATAATCCAATGTTTTGCATTTTATATCATCTCAAAAATCGTAAATATATTTTATGGGATTAAAAATGAGCAGAAGAAAATAAATTGAGTAAATGGAAGGTGGCGTTTACGTAAATATAGGTAAAGCATATGATCGATTGGTCTGAGGATCAGAGTTTGTTTCAAATTCAGGATTACCAATCAAAAGCTGAAACGGAACCTGCGTGTGTCTGAAACAGCAAGCCACGTGGGCAGTTTCAGTACAGTTATCGTTGCTACCTGCCGATACAGTTGCAGTTTCATTGAGAACATTTTTGCCTTCAATATGATTGTGTTTTACGAATTAACCCTCATCAGTTTTTGAAAACAGAGAAAGATTGTTTTTGTTCTGTAAATTTAAAATGAGTTAAATACCCTAATAGCTCAACTTAAAATTAAAATTCTTTTTTTTATTTTGATGTTTTCTTTTTAAAATTTAATGCTAACATTTAAATATTTATATTATTTTACAAGTTTTCATTTTATTGTCAGTTGAAAAATATTCATCATAATTAGAATAAAATGATTATATTTATTATTTTTTAAATTTAAAGACTAAAATTATTAAATTGGAAATTTTTTAACTTTTTATCAAAATTTAGAACTAAAATTATATTTTATTTATTTATAATTATCTAATGTTTTGAGCTGCATTTCCTTTGAATGATTTATTTAGATAATATTTCCTGAAATATTATATACAAAACAAAGTTATTTTAGGGAAATTAACCTTTGATGAATGTGTATGGTGAGAGTAGAATTTGGTTATATTGAAAGAGTGGAGTGTGAAATGAGAAATTAACCTTTAAATTTTATGCAGACAGCTTTGACCATTGGTAGCAGACTTGCATGTGAAGTCTCATTAACTTAAATAATGTTTACTTATGAATTTTGTTGTATGCAGACATAAACATCACAAAAATGAGGATAAGATTGAAATTCATCCACATGCATGCCACCTTTTTCTTATGTGATGGTTCACTTAGACACGGAATCTGTCTTAAGTCAATGTTTTTCATGTTTTCTTCATACCCTAATTCAACTTTAAAATTTAAAGGTCAAGTTAAATTTTAATTATCATTATAATAGCATCAAATTATCATGATAAAAGTAAAATTAATTTATAATATGTAAACCAGAGAATAAATTTCATCTTACAACTACTCTTCGTTATTTCGGCTCGTAAGACTGTTTTGTTATTAAATAAAATTCTTAAGAACAAGTTTAAATTTAGACTGAAGACTATTTTGTTGTTAAGTTATATTATTGAAGATCAATTTAATTTTTTACTCTTATTATTTTTTATTCTGTAATAAGGAATTTCTATTAAAATATTATTGAAACCAAAAATATTATTTTACTTGGAAACATTTAACCTTTGCTATTTCCTGGTTTATTTCTTTAGTAACTTATTGTACATAATTAGTTTATAGAGTAAATGCTTAAATATATCCTTACAAATAGAAAACACTTTTGATTTGTTTTGAAAACGAGTAAAATAACTATATAACTAAAGCACTTGATATTTATGATCTTACATGTTTAAACATTTAAAATATTAATTTTATCCCATTACTTAATACTTGTCAATTTTTTACTTGCATTGTCTTTTAATTAGCTTAAATATGTTTTTAACTTTTATAAAGCATATTTTGTAATTTTCTGAAATCTTATTCACCTTTTGTGTCTCTATTGAATGTGCATTCAGTATGTCTTTTTTATTTCAGTCTATGTAAAATTATACATCCTTAATATATTATTTTCCTTTTTATTTTAATTTCAGCTATAGAATACAAACGTATTTGGAATATGCGTATTCGTACATCAAAATAAAAATAATAAAAATTAAATGGCTGAAAACAAAAGGAAAATGAAATATTATTAGTTGCATAGACACAAACACACATAATTAATGAAAAATAAATCTATCTAAATTATAGCTTACAGAGTGAAAGACAGGAAAGGAAGATAGAAAAATAAAATAAATGCAACAAGTGATTTAATAAAAAAGAGTTTGATAAGTATTTATTATAGATATAAAAACTTTTAGATTATTAACACACTGTAATAATTGTTAATATAATTCTTAATAATTAATAAATAATATAAAACTTATACAATGGAAGGTCTACTTTTTTATCAGCCTCATTTCTTTGTTTTCTCTCTGCTAGATTGGCATGATAACTAAGCATGCAAAACAGC